TGCGGAGCGCTCGGCGCCCAGAGTGGGCGATAAACGGCACCCCCCGGGGCCCCCGCCACCGTGAGCGGCACTTTCCTCGACCGGGCGGTTCGAGGTGACCCGCGGAGCTGCAGCGCMGCGGGTGACGAGGGGCTCCGGGTGCTTGTCACTACGCCTGGAAATCGGAGAGCGGATTCTTTGCCGTCGGGGCGCTCCGTGGGCGCTCCCCGCAGGGGCACCGCGTGGGGATTCCGCCGTTCAGTCCCGCCGGAGCGCGGGCTCAGGGCACGCCGTCCCCATGAGCTCTGAGCCGATGGCTCCRGGACACGCGTGGGCCTCTCCCACGAGTTACACCGATGCGAGAGAATCCCCAAAGTTGGTGGGTCTGGCTCCTGGAAAGAACGGCGGCTTCTCTTTCTTGTGGTGACAGCAGAGGGAAAACCTCCTCGCGCTTCGCCCCGGGGCTTGGCACAGCTCCCGAGGGCTCCCGCGGGCGCTCCGCCCTGCTGAACCCGGGGTGCGGGGGGCTGCCCGCGGCGGAGGRGGTGGCAGTGCCCCCCTGGGATGGCGAGAACGCCGCCGGTTGCGCAGAGRCCGCAGCCGCCATTTCCAGGAGGACGGTGCCACCTATGGAAAGCACCTGGAATTCACCGGGCCGGCGGGGACGCGCGGGGAAGTGCCGCGTTTTCTTGAGGCGCCGCCGGGACCAAGCCGGGCCTCGCCCGCCGCTTCTCGGACGGGTCCGTGGAGCATCAGAGGAGGCTCGGCCGCCACGGTCCTCAATTCCGGCTGCCGTGGGGAGGATGTGCGGTTCGGTGCCGGGGCGGCGGCGTGGCTGACTGGCGACGGGCGCTGAGCTGCATCTCCTCGGAGCGGTCTTTTTGCTGACTGGCCAAAACCTCCGTAACCGGCCGATAACGATCAACGGGGCAGAGAGAAGTTGTCCTGCCCAGGTGCTCGGTAGAGTCCCTGAAGCCGGCATCCTCTTGCTCGCTCTGGGTCCRTCCATGCCGAAATTCGTCCACTGCCCTGCCCAGCCCCCTTCGGTCCCCGGGGAACGGGCAGCAGCCGTGCCCGGTGCCGTACCAGGCGTCGGCCGGGCATGAGCCGTGTCCACCGGGGCRCGTTGCCTCCCGTCTCCACGTCGCCTCCGGAGCCGCCGGGGAAGCCCTGCCTGATGGTGAATTCGATGACAAACAACTCGACGCGAAAACTTTAAGTCACGGGGAATTTTTGGGGTCTAGTGGACCGTCGACGTCGTCGCTGCAAGGGTGCACCCGAGATCACCCCTCCTCAGACCGGATACCCCCGCGCTACCCTGCRGCAACCCCGGCTCAATATGGGATGGCGGTCCCGCAGGTCGGAGCCGGTCCCTGCCTTCCCAATTGTCCCCGAGCTGCTCGGAAACGAAAAGRCAGCGTCTCGGGGGCCAGGCTGCGGCCCCAGTCTCCAACAGGACCGTGACCCGGCGGTGCCGGCGGTGCCGCGGGGTCCTGAGTCCGCGCCCACCCATCAGGACAGCCYGGTACAGGTCCGTGGGGCTGTGAAGTGCCGATGCTCCTCCCGGCTCCGTTCAGCTTCCAGTTCAGAGAATAAATTTCCTGAGCGGCTCGGGAACGGAACCGAACCGGGAGAAACCCGCAGCCGAACCGGGTGGCTGGGTTGACCCGGAACGCGGTGCCGACCTCCCCGAGTRTTCAGGGGAGCGTCCAGGCAAGCAAGGAACTCGCGTGGAAAGTGGCTCCGGGGTGCGCTCYGCCCTGCGCGGCGGTACCCGGGCTGCCGGATGCCTTTTTTGGGACCCCAGGGCCAGCCCGGTTGGGAGATCGGTTCGGGGGCGAGCAGGCTTTGGGATTCTTTCGGGGCGCCACTTGCTCTGCGCCCGCTCCCCTCCGCGGTCCCAGCATCGGGACCGTGCTCAGATCAACCCGGAGATGGGGACACGCTGGGGCGTGACCGTGACATGAAGAGGTCTCTGAGGGGCACCGGTATCCTCCGCCACCGCGGAACCCRGTCAGGTCGGGCTGGGAGCTGTTCTGGATCCTATCGCCATGGACGCGGGTGGCCGTGGGACGGAACAGCTTCTAAAACACGGCCACCAGAGCACACGGGAGTCGCGGGGAACTGCCCCGCTGCGGTGCGAGGATCGATGGTGCCGGCGGTTGGGTTGGAGCCAGGTCTGCCCCGCCGTCCCCTTCTCCCGGCTCAGCCACACTCAGATACGGGCGCTAGCCCCGCCACCGCCACGCGCGACTCCGACAGGGGCTCCAGCCGCTCGGTTTCGTTGCAAAACTCGCGGCCGTGGAAGCCCCCGCACAGCGAGAACCGCGGGGGGAGYCGGGCACTCTGCTCCCCGGCGGCCCCCTGAGCCCCGAGAGATCATCGCACGAGTGCGGGCTGGGGGAGCGYAGACCCCGCAGCCGAGAGGATGATTTGAAGCCAAATGGGCGTAAACGGGGTTTGCCGCGGCGGCACACACTTTCGCCGGTCCGGAGCTGTCCCCTTGTCGGCTCCGAGTCCCGGAACCTCAGGACCGAGTCCCGGCCGGCGTGGGCGACGGGAGCCGCAGGGATGGGCGGCCCGASGCGGCCGAGAGCCCGTGGGGAGCCCGGGCAGCTCCTGCCGTTGTCCCCAGGAACGTGGAAGACTGCCCATGCCCCGGCTCGGTTCCTGTTCCCGGTGGCTTGGTTGTGCGGGAGGGGTCCCCGCAGTGCCGCCGCCTCCGGGCGCGGGGGTCCCCGGACACCCTTCGGCAGCGGTAGGAACTGCCTGGCTACGGTCCCGCCCGCCKCTGCCTCGTCCGGCGCGGCTGCAGCAGCTCTGTCGCGCTTCTCCTTCAGGGCCAAGACCCCACGAGTGGCCGCAGCCCCGGCCCCGGCTCACCCACGCGCGGGGGCTGCGGGCGGTTCCCACGCGGCGGCGGTCGCTCCGCGCTGCTTTCCCCGCTCCGTTCTCGTTTGCATCTTGCCTTGTCCCTGTCCCCCCCCGCACCTCAACCAGGGTGCAGCCCCAGCCCCGCGCGGGTTTCGCGTGGATTACGGCGGGACGATGAAGTTATTTCTCCGCTGATGCTCTCGTAGGAGGCAGCCAGAAGCTCGGCTTCTCCCCTCTTCAGCCCTGCCTACCGGTGACCGCGGGGCTCCGCGCAGGCGGCGGGGCAGCGGCACCTGCTCAGTCGGGAGCTCCGCCGCCCCTCAGGGCTCCCGTGTGCCGTCGGTACGGGGCGGCGCGACCTCGGATCCGCGCTTCCCACCGGCACCGGGAGCACCGGCAGCCAGGGTGCCGGACAGACATCGACGTGCTCGAGCTGCAGCTGCCCCACGGCCACGGGAACGCACAGGTCGTGCCGCGGGGACACGATCCTAGCCCAGCCCCGTGCCCTCCGCCGGGCCTTGCGCCCAGTGCCGCCGGCTCTGCCCGCTACGAGGCACCTTCCCAGGAACGGGAACCAGTGAGCCGCGTCCACGCCAATTCACGAGTCGCCCCGCGATCAGCCTTAATTAACAACGATTAATTCAACATTAACGAAAATCTTCCCGGGACGCAGCTCGCCGGGGGCCGGGAGACCTCGGAGGTTGCCCTTCCCCTCAGCCCGGCCACGCCACGCAAAATCCGCGTGTGACGGCGGCTCCCGCGGCCGCGGAGTTGCAAGCGTGGTGTGGGAATACACGGGAGCCGCGCAGTGGGAACCTCCCGCCTTCTCCCGGGAGCGCGGTTTCACCTCCGCCGGGAGCTGTGGGAGGAGGGATCTGCCCGTGGAGAYGCGATCCACGAGCCCCTGAGTCCCGCGTGGAGCCGCGGGGCTCCAGTTGTCGGCGCTCCTCGCGGGGTCCCAAAACCCCACTCGTGTCCGCCACTGCGAGCCCGGGTGACGCGGCGACACGCGGGATYCCCGGGAAACAACGCTCCTTGGGGWGGAAACAAGAGCGGTGCTCCTCGGCTTCGAGCTCCTTAGCGGAGGGGAGACCGAGGTGGGGGCAGGAGGGGAAGATCCACGAGAGGCTTCGTCTTGGAGCCGCAGGAGCCCACTCAGCCCCGTGCCGTGGTGCTGCGGTCCCACTCTCGGGGCGGCCCCGGGCGGCGGCGCTGCCCGTGGACACGGAAACCGCTTCATTCCGCGGGACGGGGCTGAAGGGCTGCCCGCCCCCCACGATCCTCCCACCGACGGCGCGGGGGGCGGTTTGGGACCCTGCCCACTCGCGGGTCGCGTAGGACCTCCAGTGTCCCAGGGGCTGCACAGGTTTCCCGCGACTCGCACGGGTCTCGTTCTTCCGTGGCCGCCTCGGGGAGAAGGCGATGTCTCCCGATGCAGGGCARGAGGCAGAGCCGGGGAGGGGAGCCAGCGGGGGCTCGGTACCGGCTGGCAGCCTCGCAGTGCCTACGCCAGTTTGCTGACAGGTAACGCGAGACATGGACCAAATCCTGCGTGGGGCCGGGCCGCTGGCACCGGGTCACCTYTCCTCCTCCCCGGGATCGGAGCCGGGGGCTGCCGGCACGGAGAAACCAGCGCCCGCGGTGCCTCATTCTGCCGGTCGTCTCCGCGGTGCCGGGAAGGATTCGCGTTCCCGCAGTGGCGGTGGCACCGAGAGGCACGCGCGACCGCGTCTGTCCGCGGACGGCTCCGCCGTTACCGGGACGGGATTCGTGCGGGAACGCTCCCAGCCCTGACAGCACTCCCTTTGTCCGAACACCGCTAGGCGGGCCGGGCCGCGGATCCCCCCAGCCCGCACCGTCCGGGWGCCGCGGAACCTCTCCCGGGGGGCGCCGAACCCCATCCCGCCCCCTCCCCGCGCCGCGGGCCCCCTTTGTGCTCCGCGCCCCCTCCCGCGCTCCCGGGGCCGTCCCCCCGAGCGGGGCGTGTCCCGGGGGCGTGTCGCGGTGGGCGTGGCGGGGGGCGGGTCCCGCGCGGTGCCGCCCCCGCCCATCGGGACGCGGAGCACGTCGGCGGGCGGGGCGCGGCGGGGCCAATGCGGCGCGGGCGGAATATTCCACCGCGCTCCGCGGGCGCGGGGGGGCCGCGGTGACGTCAGCGGGCGGAGTATTATGGTCTGGGCTGCGCCGGGGCCGCCCCTGCGCTGCGAGCGGCCGCGTAAACATGGAGCTCTCGGCCGTCGGGGAGCGCGTCTTCGCGGCCGAGGCCCTGCTCAAGCGCCGCATCCGCAAAGTAGGTGCCCCCCGCGGCCCCTCCGCCGCGCCCCCGGCCCCCCGCACCCCGGCCCCGGCCCGCTGGGGGCGGCTCTGCCTCCCCCCGCCGCGGGGCGGGCTCCGCTCCGCCGCTCCCGCCCTCCGCGCCCCGCGCCTGGGGGGGGGGCCGTGTTAAATCCGCGCCTGGGGAGGGGGGTGTGTTAGATCGGCGTTATTTTTCATTGTTGCATCCCCCCTGCTGCCCCTCCGCCCCGTGTTCCGCTCCTTGCTCGGGGCGTTGCGGGGGGACCTTTGTTGCGGGGCGGTTTGTCGCGGTTTGTCGCGGTTTGTCGCGGTTTTCGCTCCACGCATATTTATTTTCCTCGCTTCCCATCCGCAGGGCCGCATGGAATATCTGGTCAAATGGAAGGGCTGGTCGCAGAAGTAAGTCGCCCGTGGGGCTGCGGCGGGGGCCGGGGGGATGCTGCTGCACCCCCTGCTCCCCCTTTGTGACAGAACGGGAACCGGCTCCCTCCCTTCGTGTCCCTAGTTCTTATTTTATTAATCTTGTCCCCTCCTGGCTCCTTACGCTGTTCCCTCTCTCCGTCCCGCCTCCCCCCCAGGTACAGCACTTGGGAACCCGAGGAGAACATCCTGGATGCCCGGCTGCTCGCAGCCTTCGAGGAGAGGTACAAGGCCTTTACTAGCTATAGCAGTTGCGCTTGTAAATATGTGGCTGTCTTGTAGCTATGCTGAATTGAAGCTTTGGTTCTTTTAACACCTCTAGGGAGCGAGAAATGGAGCTTTACGGGCCCAAAAAGCGAGGCCCCAAGCCCAAAACCTTCCTGCTAAAGGTAAGGAGGCCGGAGCCCGCGCACGAGGGCTGCGTGCCGGAGCAGGGGTCCCTCTCTGGCCCCCTCGGAGGATGCTCCCCTCAAAGGTGGCCTCTTGTAAGTTGTAATTACACAGCCGGATGGCAGGATAATAAAGTCACTGGGTGATTTATCTTCTTTGCAGGCCCAGGCAAAAGCCAAAGCCAAAACCTATGAATTCCGCAGTGACTCTTCCAGGGGGATCCGGGTGCCGTACCCTGGYAGATCCCCCCAGGAGCTGGGCTCCACATCCCGGGCTAGGGAAGGACTGAGAAACATAGCCCTGGCCCCCCAGGGCAGCTCCAGCAGCAGCACCCCCAAGGCAGACAGCATCCGGGACCGGGTGATCCGCGTGGAAGAGAAACCCGGAGAGACTCCCAAAAAGAGGGGCCCGAAGCCCAGGAAGGAGCTTTACAAGGACCTGGCAGAGACTCTGGATGCCTCCAAGAGGAAACTGGGGGAGCCGGGGGACAAGGTGGGGGACTACCTGAAGGCCAGGAAGATGGAGGAGGCGGCGGCGGGGGCGGCCAAGTTCGGCTCGGGACACAGCGTGATCCAGCTGGCCCGGCGGCAGGAGCCCGAGCTGCCCGGAGCCCTGCCCGGCCCCAACCGCGCCGAGCCGGGGGCCGACACCTTCCCCCCGCGCCTGGCCAAGCACCGCGCCGACTTTCTGGACCCCAAGGGGCAGGGRGGGCTGGACCCCGGTGGGCCCAAGCTCCTGCACGGCGCCGTGAGCCCCGGGGCCGTGGGCAGCCTGTACCGTGACGGAGTGGGGGGCCCGGCGGGGCGGCCCTCCCTCATCGCCAGGATCCCCGTCTCCAGGATCCTGGGGGACCCCGAGGAGGAGTCCTGGAGCCCCTCTCTCAACAACCTGGAGAAGGTGGTGGTAACTGATGTGACCTCTAACTTTTTGACCGTCACCATCAAGGAGAGCAGCACGGACCAAGGATTCTTTAAGGAGAAGCGATGAGTTTGGTGGAGGTGGTGCTGGGGTTTTCTTCAGTCAGATTGAGACAAAAGCTTGGTAGAGCTTGGTGGGCCTCTCTTTTTTGTTTTTTTTTTTTTTTTTTTTAGATATTTTTTTTTTTTCTTTAACTTTTTTTTTTTTTTTTTTTTTTTTTTTCACGTCTTACATTTCGTTGGAAAGATTATCTCTAGAGTTATATTTTCTATTAGATGTAAATATGTTATTTAAGAAAAAATGCTTATATATATATCTATATATATATTTCAACTCTGAGTTGTTTTATTTAAATGGAGACAACAGTGACTGCTCAGTTGCTCCTAGAAAGGACAATAAAACTGAGAACTAACGAGTTCACGCATCTGCAGCAGGAGCCGGTGTACATAACGGTGTTCATAGCTAAGTATGTGCTGGGTTTTTTTAACTATTATTTTTCATATGATGCTATGGATGGTGGAGGGGGACGTGCTGCTCCCTCGGAGGGCGAGGTGCCCACGTTTCTTGATTGTGATTTAAGGTGTTGCTTGTACAATCAAGTGTGCTGTGTCCAGAACTGTTGCCCTTGACAGTTGACGTGAGCACTTGAATTCACAGTGTTGTTGGGGATGGGGTGTTTCCAGTCTAACAAAAAAAAAAAAAAAAAAAAGTGATGTTGCTACAAAGTCGGGACGGGGAAAAGCAGAAATCCATAAAAAGGCTAAACGTGTTGGAGTATTAACTTGAATTCCCTTTTCTTGCGGAGGAGAGGAGGTTTGTGTGTGTAAGGTTCCTGAGGGGTGATACTGAAATGCACTTTAATAGAGTTGTCGTAGCAGTTGTGGGAGATGGGACTGAGCTGAGAATCTGTTTTCATTTTGTCTGGTCGCTTGATTCTGTTCCCCCACCCACTAAAAACAAAAAAAAAACCCCAACAAAACCCCCCTCTGTTTACATTCCTGAAATGCCAGAGAGGTTGGGGAGGGAGCATCTCACTGCCCATATTTAGTTACTTTATTCTGCCATAGAAAGTGGATTATTATTATTTTTATTCCCAATCACAGTTTACTTCAGACTATTGGAAGTCTCCTGATGAAGTGTTCTGTAACATCCACATCCCCGACAAATCCCAGGGTCACCTTTCTGCATTCAGAGACAATAAATTCTTCCCTTTCCTCACACTGGTTAAACAATAGCCAAGAGGCGAAATATTCCCGTGTGGAGCAGCCCCACCGACTCGGGTGGGTTTTGTGCTGGATTTGCCTCCCGGGGCTGGGATCTGGAGCTGGATGGGGCCGGGAGGGTCTCATGGCTCCGGGTGAGGTGCAGTTTTCCCGCAGGTTTGGGGCTGGGGGTGCAGCTCCAGCTCTGCTGCTCCCCCAGCTCGGCACAGCCTGGCACAGGAGCGACCCTCGCCCGGGCTGGGGCTTGGCTGGGGTGGAGCAGGTGGCMCTGGCCTCACGCCTGGCTCTGGGCATCATTGGATGGGAAGCACAAGCCTGGCAGTGCCYGAGGGCTGGGACTGAGCCAGGGTCCCCTTGTCCCTGAGCTCCTGAAGGGCTCTGGCTCAGGGGGCTCACATGGGGTGAGGGAAGTGGCCGGGCAATGGGCACCTCTTTGCTGCAGGGCCCTTTGGCAGCTTCACCTTGCCTGGTTCCCTTCCCCATCCCTTCTTTGGCACCCACGAGGTGCCTGGCAGGAGGATGCTGGATTGGCTGTGCAAAGGGAGCCATCATGTCTGAGAGTTCCGAGTTTGT